TTTATTTAAAAAATTATTTTTATTCTGAACAAATTATAGATATCACTATTGATTTTTAAGATATTGTGGAATGTGAACAATAATACAAGTTCAAGTCTTCAGATAAAAATTTTAAATTAAAAAAAATAATATTAAATTTTGCTCATATACAATGAGCAACTATGTCGAATCTTATAAGCTATTTTTGTTAAGAAAAAATAGGTTAACTATAGAGTCGATTTATCAAAAGTTCAGTTATATTTAATTTTTTGAAATATATAATTTCTTTCTTGTAATAAATTGAAATAAAACCTTAAATTGTATTGTTGTTATTCAAGAAAATTTCGAATATATATCATATATTACATTAGTACAACTTGAAATATGAAATAAATGTCCATTATTAAAAATTTCTCAAGCATTTATATGACATGAATTATTTCAGGATGGGAAGAACAATAGAAAAGGCATTTAATGCAACATTGTTGGCTCAACTTTTAGGAGCTACTTCTCTCATATGCATTCTTGGTTATCAAATTTTAACAGTGAGTTAATATATTATAGCAATGATTATATAGATATAATATATTTGACACAATTTTCTATTCTTTCAAATTATATAAAGTTTGGAATTAGATACCCAATTTTGGGAAGATTTGATTTGATGAGACAACGCTTGTTATTTCTTCTACTCTAAATATTCTTTACATATTAGACATATATTGAGATTATACCTTCCGCCAAACTCGTCATTAAAACATTTTTCTTACTAACAATTTTTATTTTCATAAATGTTTTATGAAAATATTATAATTTTTACTTTTATAAATAATTATATATTAAATTTTCTATTATTAATATATCATATATTCTACATAATACAGTTGCGACACTAATATAGAATAATCGAAGTTTTAACATTAGTTTTCGTGAAATACTTTTATTTAGGCCTTTTTCTTAAAATAGTTTTTCTTTCATAAATCTATTCTTTTAATAAAATAGACTTATAAATGATATGGGAATCCAAACAATATAGATGATTATTATAAATTCAAAAAAGATTCCTTTCCGATAATTTAAAAAGAATTCTATAGAAGTATACATTTTTTTAAAATTGTTCTGAAAGGAATTCTAATTATCATATCGTTATTGTCATCCATACAACACATAGAAATATTCATACACATAATGACTAGGATAAGAGTCAGGAAAATATAAGTTCCAGCATATTTTTTATATTGAGACATTTTTAAGAAATAGCAGTGAGAACAATATTTTAGAAATCGATTTAAAATGGGTATTTAATTCTGAATATCGATAGAATATTTTTTAAAAAGTATTACTAATTACATATTTCCATTATTCTGTTAATTATGAGTTATATTAATTTTCGATTTTATGCTAAAAATTTTAAAAATTTTATCTACAGAATTATGCTAAAGGTGAGAGAGGAGTACTTGTGACATTTTTGATATTCCAGTTCTTAGTTCTGCTTATACTCTACGCTCATTGTACTGTCGGTGAAAATCTTTTAACAGAGGTATTTTATTAAAAAAAATAAAAAGAGGATTATGCATAAAATATATGATCATTATTTGTATAGAGGATTATGTATAAAATAATAAAATCATTGTTTGTCTATTTAACTCAAATTAGGTTTGTATAAATGTGTACAAATAAACTTAAAGTTTTGTTTTTTTTACAGAGTGCTAAAGTATGCGAAGCTTTTTATGATTGTCATTGGTATGATATGCCAAAGACAAATGCGCGAATGATGATACTATGTATGGCAAGAGCGCAAAAGCCACTCTCTTTAACAGCTGGCAAGTTTACTAATATTTGCCTGAGTACTTTAACTAATGTAAGTCAATGTTTTATGCATGCAGATTTAAAATTATTCAAATATACACCATTTTGCTTAACTTTGAAAATAGTTCTGCTGCCTATAAAAATACAAAAGTATGGTTCAGAAATAAATTGTTACCAATTGTTTACCAAAATAAAAAGATTATAATATTATTGCTATAATATTATTCCGTTCTTTTCTTAATTTTATTTCTTTCAAGATTTCAAGATCATTGATTTTTCTTTAAAAAGGATTATATACAATGTCCTCTATATAATTCATATATTAATCCATCATTTCAAAATTTGATTTTTCAATTTAAAAAAAAAAATGTTTCATATAAACATTGTAGAGTTTCGAGGGAGTCATACGTAATTATAATATTGATTTATTCGCAGATGGCGCCACTGTCGAAATTTTTTTATGAATTACGTCATTTTTATAAAAAAATTTATAAATGGAATCATGTATTTTTTTATTATGTAATATAGTTCTTTTTATTATTCTGGATAGAAAAGAATTAAGGTTAAAAATTAATAATTTTCGAGATATATTATATTTTATATTTCTCGTATATTCTAATATAAAATATTTTGCAAATTTATTTTTTGATATTTATATATTAATATCTTTAAAATATGGATAAAATAATGAAACAAATCAATTGCAAAGGAAATACATAGTTATTTTTAAAAAATTATGGAATTATCAATTATAAATACTTTTTTTTAAAAACAATTGCATACTTTCTTTATATCAATCGATTTGTCTTATTATTTTTGTCTATATTAATTTAATATACAATTTAATAAACAACTATTATAAAATAAATAATTTACGAAATATTTTATATTTTATGTCAAAGTATGCGAGAATAAAATATAAAATATCTCGAAAGTTACTAACTTTTTGACATTTGTATCTTGATATTTTTCTTTCAAAATATTCAAAATAATTAAAAGAATCATATTACGTAACAAAAATATGATTCCGTTTAAAAAATGGTTATAAAAAATTTCAAAAGTGGCGCCATCTGTGAATGAATCAATGTTGTAATTATGTAACAAAATATTATTTTATAAAAATATTATTTTATATTATTTTATATTAAATATTATTTTATATATTTTAAATAAATATATCCTATATTAATTATAATACACAAGAAGTTAATTTTTTATTTATAATGCAAAAAAATTGATGCTTTCTTTGCCAAATAATAATCACAAATTAAAATAATTTAATAATTTGTGAATAATTTCAGAACATGTATACACGCACCCGCACGATACACGCATATACATATGTATATATCACTGATTAAATATTTTATTATATTTAAATATTTAATTATATTAGATATTATCAATTTAATAGGTTTTAAAGACATCCATGGGATATTTATCAGTATTACGTTCATTTTTATAAGGTCATCAATGAACAGTGACTTTCTGTATGTAAAGATTATTTATAAATTAATTATGCTCAAATAGAAGTAAATGTACAATAAAAATTATATAATAAATTGTATAATAAAAAGAGAAGATATTATTATTTCTTTTGAAAATTCTGGATTATTATCTATAAAAAATTTAATTATTTAAAAACAAATGTTATATATAAAAATAGATTACTTATTTAAAATTAAAATATCATTTGTATGTATCTAAGAAAATATTTATATTTAGATTACATGAACATTTTCTAATTGAATTACTCAACAGCAGAATGATTAATTTATGGATTTATTATTATCACTTGTAGACAGATTATCGCCGATTTATCTTGGATTTCAGCGTGATATGGCGCTAATATTACTTATAGTTTTACTTCATGCTCTATATTCCTATATCCATAATAAAATATATTGATGTATCACAGATTTCATTTAAAAAAAATTATTATATATTTCAATATAAAAATGAATACTTTCTTTTAAAAATTACAATAAATAAAATTTAAATTCAATAGTTCAAATTATAACCTATTACAATTTGCAAAACTCATCAAGAGAAGAATAGAGAGACAATTTTACTTTTCACTGATAATGTGAAGTTCAATGTCATTTCAATGTTAAAAGATAATGACACACAGAAAAACATAAACGATAAAATTTAAATGAACAAACAAGGATTTAAGAGTATAAATACTTTAATTAAAAATCAAAAATTCTGGTGCTTAAAGAAAAGATTGAAAGCATTTAAAACTTATCCAAGCTATAAAAAACAAAACATTAATATATT